CCTCAGGCAGCTCCACATCCCTTCCCTCCACATACACGCTCCCTGGTCCCAACCCCAACGCAGCCGGGTGCGCCCTGTCAGCTCAGCTCGGCTCTCATCAAGTGATTAATTTCTGTTCTCAGCATACTTTCAAGCCTTTGCATCTCAAGCATGTTAATTCCTCCTCCGACAAGCACAGACCCCTGAAGACAAACAGGCCTGCTTAACACAAGGCTGTATCTGTGAACTAAACACTTGTTTGTTCCTAAGGCCCACAGCAGAGAACCACGCTGCCATCCAGCAGGGTACATGAAGCAAGCCCCCATCACGCCAGTCAGAGCACCCCACGCGGTCTGGATGATGGTCACATAGGCCTGGGGTGGGTGGCACTGATAAAAACAGGTCTCTGTTATAAGGATGGTCCTTTGACATGAGGCGAGGACCCCGGGTGAGTCAGTATTTACAGTGGCAGTTCAGGACAAAGAGGACAAGGCGCAACCACGCGGCACGATTAGCGGGGCTTGTCTGCCACTATTTACAGGACTGCTTTGATTTTCAGACTGCAATTGGTTTTCATATGACTGATTGAAAACATGTGCCAGTTGAAATCACAGCTGCAGAATAAAACTGGAAAAAACCAGTGAGACATAGATGTTTGAAACTTGCCTCTATTTGCAAAAATGACCTCTGACTTGATTTGTATGTATTTGATTTCCTGACGGGGGTGGGGGGTCGTGTCCTTGAGCCACGTCTCCCGCCCCACTGCCACATTGGCCTGGCTTTAGCAGACACCATATGTCTCATCTTCCAGTTGCCCAAAGAAAAGCATCTTTGAATTCCATAACCCAAGTCCTGTTTTGGAGGAAACCAGTTGTTTAGGCTTTTGCAAAATAAAAAAGGTCTGTTGGAGAAGCAGGCCAGCTGACGATGGCCTTGTCTTGGGCAGCCAGAGCCACGTGACTCCTAAACACCCTTCTAACCCACAGCTGTGACCTCCTCCCGACCAAGCCTGTAACCAAAAGCACACACAGAAGCCTGCCAGGCAGGTGTGGGCAGAACACAAACCTGGCTGCACAGCTCACCCCTCAGATGCCGCCGCAGGTCACAGACAGCTCAGGACTGTGCTTTAGAGGATATACAGTGCCCCACAGCTTTGTTGAGTGCCCACCCTGAAAGTGGCTGTCTCTGTGCAGTCAGTTGCCCATTCAATTTGATAAGTGGAAAGGGAGCAGCCATAGGGAAGGGGTAAACAGGCAAGGCTCAGACCTCTTCTACATGAGCTTTCCCTCTTCCGCTGGTTGTACAGACTTGGAGCCCCGCCCCTTGGGCCCAGCTTGGTCCCTATGGTAACACTCGGCATCCATTGATCGTCTTTTATGCCAGGTACCATACCAAGGACCTGATCTCATTAAATCCCCACAAGAACCCTTTAACGCAGGCATGGTTATCCCTACTTTATGTCACCTGCCCAGGAGATCCAGCCAGCAGGGCAGGTGAGTCGCCAGGCCTGGATCTGAGGTCCAGCTAGCCCCAGAGCCTTCACTACTCTACCTGCCCTCCACATCCTGCAGCCTCGGAGTTTGCTGGGCTTGGCTTTCGGCCCAGAGAGAAGATTGACCCTGGGCCCAAGGCCCAGAGCAGCAGAGCCGCTGAGTGCTGCAGCTCCTGGCTGCTGGTCCGGGCTCCACTCACCTCCCTGTGCCCTGTGTGTGCGCGGAAACCCAGGTGCCTCCCCTCCCGCTCTGCGCCTGTGTAGAACTGAGCGAGTCGCATTGTCTACATTTCAGTCTCCTCACTGACGCTCTTGAATTGAACCGGGCTGTGATTTTCTGAAACCTTAAGCAGAGGGGTTGAGACCAGTGATGAGGGTCAGAACCTTATCTCATCCTAAGGCCTACTGAGCTCTGTTTTGGTCTAAAAATAGATCCTTCCGTATGAGACTGTGAGGGCCCTGGCTGACTCCGGGCCTCTCTCCTTGGAGCGCTCATTGGCCAGTTAATGAGTCCCGCGCGCACACACACACACTTGCACTCCACAAACTTCGCCTTTGGGTCACAGGTTTGTTTTTTTTTTTTAATTGACAAATAACTCGTGTCACTAGCAAGCTATACTCTGGGCAGCTCTCCATTTTCTCTAATAAAAAGTGAAATAAATGAAAACAGTGCTTCATAAACATCTATAAATGGGTGGGAGCCAGTTGTCATTTTCCCTCTCCCCTCCTCCCCTCCCTCTGCTGACTTAATGAGGATCCAAGTTGAGAAGCACTCACTGAACACAGCTGGTAGCAGCGTGCCTTTAAATAGCCTTCGCCATGCTTCCCCTCGGTGGCACACAGTTCGTCCTGGCAGGGAAAGCCCGGGACACACAGGAAACTTTAGAACTTTCTGAAAAGGAAAGCTCTCCCCTTTCAAGCAGACTCTCTTGCCAAGACCTTTTCGTATGAGGAGCTTGCAGCCCCTTCTCCCAGAAGTCTCCAAGATAAAGGGGCCCATGAGCCTCTGGGCCGGGGGGGCGGTGGAGAGAGCTTCCCTTGGCCGGCGCCCAGCCAATCATGCAGCCAGCACTCACGGTGCAGATTAGCGGCAGCCCCTGTCTGTGGCCATCGCCTGTACCCTGGCCAGGTCCCCGTCCCCACGGAACACCTGAAGCAGTCAGGCAAAGGGCTGAGAGGCTGCCTGCCTCGGCTGCCATCTCGGACTCTCTAAGAAGGGCTACCAGCCTCTTCCCAGAGACACGTCTGGACTGTTGGGGACAGCAGCCGCGGAAGTGTGGAAGGAGTGAATGGCCATCCTGTCTGGGCCGCAGCTGGCAGTTGCTGTACATTGTCCCACAGCTGTGTTGCACAGGGGTGGGCATATGACTCTCTGCTTGCCATAGGGACAGAGCCCAGGGCTTGTGGTCTCCAGCTTCACTATAGGTCTAGGGCTCCTGCTGCCGTGTTACAGTCCCCCTTTGTGTGTTAAGAACAGTTGTGGCCTGATGTTCTTAACAGGCAAGGGTTCTGAGGTCCTAAGTATCACAGAAAAGAACACCTTGGCTGACTCTGCTGCACTGATCAGGAGTGGATGGAGGAAGGTGCTTTATCCATCTTCCTCGCTAGTTGCTGGCTGGGACTAAAATTTGAGAAAGGACTAAAGTTTTCTTGGTCAGTGTGTGAACAGTATGTCTTCTGCCTTCTGGGATTGCACCGGCTCTACCTTATGGAACAGAGTGGAATGGACGGGCTCCAACTGCTCCTCACAAACCTGTGGCCATCATGACCACATCAGCTAAAGCCACAACCTTCACAGGAAGCGTGCTGAACTGGGTCGGAGTCACACTGAGGAGAATGCACCCCGCCTTTCCAGGGCGGAGCAGTGTGGCCTGGCGGGGAGGACACAGCCTGTGGGACTAGTGTCCTGGAGGAGGCAGGAGAGAACTTCTGGTGGCCAGGGAACTCCGGCGAGTAAAGGCCATCTGGCCTGAACATGAACAAAGCCCAGAGATGGGAAATGGTACACTGAGGAAGGGCAAGGAGTCATGCAGCGGGGAGATGGAGGGCTAATGAGGAGGAGCCAGACTGTGAGTGTGACAGAGCCGGGCCAGGAGTCCCAGGACGCCGAGGTCTTGGGGGGAATCCATTGGTGGTCTCACACACAGGAGGAAGGACCTTTATGCCACTCTTGTGTTGCAGGCTAAGGAGACCAGAGCCAGGGGTGTTACCAAGGATGGAGAGACGTGGAGGGCTGCGGTGGGGGTCTTGGGAATGAACCACGCAGGGGTTTGGTGCGGAAGATGGTAGAGAAAGAAGCCGAGACAAAGGCTATAAGAAGCACAAAGTGGCCAGATCACTTTCAGATCCCTAACAGTGAAGAAAGGGTCCTATGGAACATGCTGGTTAGAATTACAGAGCGACGCCCAGGTCAGAGTGTCCCACAGGTGGTTAGAAATGTGGGCCTGGACGTTTGGGAGGGGAAAGGACTGGAGACGGGACAGAGGAGTATTTTGCCAAGCATGAGGCAAGCCTGCGAATGACCCAGTAACTGTGACCTCAACCCTGGTCTGCACGAGGAAAGTGGAGGCACAAGTGCAAGAAAAGACGGCATCTAGAGGGGCAGCATTAGAAAGCAGGGATGAGAGGATCAGGAGACCTGTGATGCTTAATGTCGCAGAAGTTAGAGGACAAGAGAGTTTCCAGAGAGGAGCTGTCATGGAAATGTCACAGTGGCTGCGTGGAAACCAGAGCCAAGGAGGAGCCTGGGCATCCAGAGTGGCCCAGATGGGAAGGGTCCGGCTGTCTGGCTGGGGAGGAGAGCACTCCCGCAGATGCCCACGTCACAATGCTTCTGGGCCTGCTGCCTCCGCTAGACTGAAAGCCCCCGCACAGTGGGGACATCTGGGACATCTCGGCCTCAGGCAGCTTGACCAAGCAGAGGGGCTCAGCTCATGTGTGCCTCCTGCTGGGCACATGGCCTTGAGTCTGTAGATGGGAATCTGGGTGTCTGAACGTATTGTCTGCCCAGACCCTGCCACATCTTTGGGGAAGATTCTCTTCATACCCAGCCTGGCTTTCTTTCCACTTGACCGGACCACGTTTGTGTTTAGACCATTTCAGAATCCTCACTAGGCCCTCTTTTTGTGCTTGTGAAGTCAGAGGTCCCCTTGAAGGGAAAATGCAGCCCTGTGATACTTCCAGTCACCGAAATGACACCTCAGTCAACCTGCTCCCTCTGTCTTAGAACCTCGGACCAGACCCCGTCCGTCCCAGGAGAAGGCGGCCGCTGAGTGTTGCCCGAAGGAGTTGGCAGCTGGGCAGGTCTGGTGTAGGCTGTCTGAGCATCTGGGAAAGAGGCCCGTGGTGAACCAGCTGTGCCTCCCTTGGAAAAATCCAGAGGGCTTTGCATGAGCAGAGGAGGAAAAGCCAACCCAAGATACAAGACAGTAAATAACAACTGTTCTGAGTTAGGTCGAAAGCTCTGAGTTGCACTTTTTCTAAGTTGTTTGCACTAACCACAACTTTTTTCTCCCCTCTTTCCCACCAGGGCTTATTTCAAAACCTTTGTCCCTCAGTTCCAGGAGGCCGCGTTTGCCAACGGAAAGCTCTAGGAAACACCGGTGGTGAGAGGGGGCCAGCCAACCTGCTCGGTCCACATGCGTGTCAGCATACATGGCTGCTTCCTGGAGGCCACCTGGACCCCTTCACTGCAGTGTTCTGCTCACACAGCAACTCTGTGCCCAGGGCAGTCAGTCTCCAGCTGCCTGGTGGTACCCTGGATCCTAGCGCCCCTCGCTGCTGGCTGTTCCCTCTTCTTTCGTTAGATTTCTTAGGTGGAAGAAATAAACTCACAAGTCATGATACAGTAATTTGCCAGGGAAGGTAAAACATCATAAACGTACACACCCTCCTTCCAAAGCCTTTGTCTCAGACTTCTGTTAAGTTTTAAGGTCGAACACCCCTTGGCTTCTCCCACTGAAATTAGTGCCGTGCGTGCATGTGTGTGTGTGTGTGCGCGCGCTGTACTCCAATATTTCCACTGGGCAGTCCTCCAGTGCAGACCTGCAGGGTCCAGACACCCATACAGCCAGGCTCCAGGCTGGCACTCGGGAATGAATAGGTTCTAGCATCCACCCCCCAGCTCCTGTGGTCCACGTGCAGTCCATCCTCACATGGTGGAAGGATGGGGGCCATCAGGGTTTGCTGCATGTACCAGGTACAGTCCCTGATAGGAGTTTCTGGGGCTCATGCAGCACTGTGTGAATTCACATGAAAGTCAAAGGTCAGGGCCATAGGTTACTACTGGTATGTATCTGGTATCTGGACTCAGGCTGGCCACTGAGCAAGGAACCTGAGCCAGCTCCCAGGTGTAGAGACTGTCAGAGCTGGATCATCAGAAGCCAGCTTCTTTCCTTTCAGTGTGCAGAGGGGGAAACTGAGTCCCAAGGGCTCAAGAAACAGCAGATCAAGAGCACCTTCCTGTGGGCAGGGTCAGAAGAGACCCTGTGTGGCCAGCTGGACCCCTGAGAAGTCATAGCCACTTCTCAACAGAGCCATCTGGGGAGTTTCACAGACATCCAGGTGTGCTGGCCCAGTTCACGGGAGTCTGGTTCCGCAGGTCTGTGGTGGGGACCAAAACAGGACTTCCTCGGGAGCTCCTGGGGATTCTGAGGAGCGGAGGTCTCAGTCTGGTCCAGTTTGCCCCTTGTATTAAGGACTGACAAGTTAGGCAGCTGGTTAATGGCAGAGCAGGGTGTCGTCACAAAACTGTGCTGCTTGCTTGGGGCAGCTATGTGCCGGCTCGGTCCTCCTCCGGCTGCACGGCAGGATCCCTCAGGATCACCTTGCTACCTCCACCCATGCAGGTGGGGCTCTGCTACCCACCAAGCCTAGAGCAGGTGAGGTCACCATTTCCTGTGGCCGTTCAGCAGTGACAGAGCCAGAGTAGGCGGTGTGACTGCGTCTGTCACTCTCCCGCACCTGCCACCATCTGGGGGTCCACACGTGCTCAGGCCGACCAGATAATTCATGACAGCCTGGTTCATCAGCACAGCGAGCACAGCAAATTCCAAAGAGCTGTCACAAGCTGGGTGTGATGACACACACCTGTAATCTGAGCCCTGTAGGAGGCTGGGGCAGGAGAATCAGAAGGTAGCCCCACCTGGGCAACTCAGCAGCTTAGCAAAACCCCCTGTCTCAAAATAAAAATGACAAAAAGGGCTTGGGATGGAGCTTAGTGTGAAGGCCCTGGATTCAGGCTCCAGTGTGTGTGGTGGTGGGGGTGGGGGCAGTGCTTGTTGTTTACAGCAGACCTGCGGTATGACTGAGGGAGTAGAGTCTGTCCCGTCCCACAGATAAGGAGACAGGGTCAGAGAGGGTAAGTGAGCCGGCCGCAGTCACCCGCCAGGCAGTGCTGGTGTCGGGACACACTCTTTAACATGCATCCACGATTCTTCTGAGCTCTCCTAAGGGCGTGCTCTCCTTGCCAAGGAAGCCGATATACTGTGTGTGGGTTTGTGGGGACGGAGAGTATGATTTGAATTCCCTTTACCCGAGTGAATTGGGCTGATTTTCTTAGGGAAACGAAACAGCAGAAAGTAACCGCTTAACATTTCCAGTGCCAGGGATCCGAACACCAGCATCTTGAGATTTTTATCTCGGCAAAGTCGTGCTTGGGAAGTGGGCAGGGTCGCTGGCGTGTATTTTAACACTTCCCGCTGCTTCCTCCAGTCACCGAGCACCGTACCGTGCACAGAGCACAGCCCGGGACTAATTAGTAAGTGGCTATAAAATGCTCTGAAGAGGAGACGTGCCATCGAGGAGAGCACATTCTTATTACCTCATAAATCCTGTCTCCGGCTTACTCAGCCCTTGTGATTTAAATCGGATCCTTAGCTCAGCACAGACAGGGGAAGACTCAGATGTGTTTACTAATAATAGTTGGGTCTGGTGGAGCAAGCCCTCTGGGGCCTGGGAGGAGGGACGGGAGAACGTGTCTTCGGGCTGTGCACCGAGCCCGTTCTCTGGGGCATGAACTAGAAAGGGTACGAGCCTCAGGATGAGAGACTTACATTTGAATCCTGGCTCTGTCCACCTTGAAGCTGTGACGAGGATGAGGATGATGGAGAGGAAGGAATAGTGCTAGGAGGACCCCAGTGTGTACCGCTAGCCTGTCTCCACGGTGTGAATTCCTCGCCGTGACCAATTCTCAGCCGCCCATATGAAGTCACTGAATGACAGCTGGGAAGGGCAGGAAGGGTGGCCGTGGGGAATGCTCGGCTGGGATGAGCCAGCGGCCGTGTCTACTTCATCTAACTCTCGTCCTCCTCCTCTGTAAAATGGGAATAAATACCTGCCGACTAGGCTGGTGAGAATCGAGTAAGAAAAGGCAGAAAGCACCAAGTCTTGTCTGACACACAGTTGCTGTTGTTGCAGACCAGGAAGGGTTCCCTGATGTTGACTTTGGCCTTTCTCTAAAACGTCAGCGCGCCCCTGTGCATCCTGCCTGTGAATGCGGACTTTGGGAGAGCGGCCCTGTCTGGGTTGCAGGAAGTCGAAATGATGAGTCACACTGGGCTTTGGCGAATGAGAGATGAGATCCACTTGTGGGAGTCCCCGCCCCCGGGGCCCAGCAGGACTTCAGGCTGCACAACTGCGGCCCAGTGACCTGTTTCTTCTCTCTGGCCCCTGCTTTCCCACAGCGAGGAAATCGGAGCAGCCCAGTTCACTTTTGCCTCGGACTTGGTTTCGGTTTCTGATGGCTGTAAACACTCCGGAGGCTCAGCTGTGCCAGAGCCGTGACCACACGGGCTTTGCCTAGTGCTTGGCCTATAAATAGCACCAGCCCCGGAAACTGCCCCAGTTCCCCTGCACAGATCTGGCCCCCGGTCCTTAATGCAAACATTAGGAACGCCACTCGGGAAGATGCTGTCTAATTCTATGAATAGCATGATTCACTCACTAGTGCTTTAAAAAATGAAAACAAGAAGCATCACCTTTTCTTTATGCATCTGGAGTACTGCACAGTAAAGTTAGGCACCAGCTGGACACGGGCTAACAGATACATTGTCTTTTTTTCTTTTTCTTTTTTTACTGAGCTACCTTCCCAGCTCTTTTATATTTCTGTTTTGACGCATGTCTTGCTAAGTCGCTAAGAAGATGCTAAGACTGCATCCTCCTGCCTCAGCCTCCCAGAGAGCTGGGATTGTAGATATGTGCCACCATACCCAGCAAAATACTGTCTTTAAATCCTCACAATTAAATGAGGTTGGTGTTACTATCTTTGTTCCTTAGATCAGGACATGGAGACTCAAAAAGGTTAAGTAACCTAGCTGAGGGCCTGAAGCCAGTATATATACTTACCCACTTTTCCATTCTATGTTCCCTTATTCTTCTCCTTTCCCTCCTCCCCTTCCACCTCCTCTCCCTTTTCTGTTCTGTGTAACACACAAAATTAATCCAGGCTTCTGTTTTGTCCTACTTGCAGTATCCAGCTTCCCCTAATGCAGGAGACCTATGGAGCATCTGCTGCACACAGGCCCTTTACATGACATTCATCCACAGATGTGTGCTACATGACGGGACTATATGGCCTAGTGATGCTGTAGCCTCTTGGTTTGTGTGACCACATGCTTTGATGTTCACACAGCCCAAATCACCTAACAATGCATTCTCAGAACAGGGGCCCATTGCTAGGGATTGTACTTGTTTTTGCCATTTCCCACATGAGGAGAGGGACTTGGAGTGGCAGAGTGGGCTGGGGTCACAGGAAGCTGGAGTCAAACCTGACCTGCCAGTTCCAAGGCCGTCCCTGGCCACAGAATTTTGTGCGGCCCGAGTGCCACCAACCAGAGGCCTATGGACTGGTATCAATGTGGCTGCGTAAATATATATAGATGCCAACTTATTTCCAGATAGTTAAGCCAAGACCAACCCACACCTGGAAAAAAAAAAAAATCCGACTTCAAAGTTGATGTCATATTTGCAGGTTAAAGTCCAAGACACACTTGGGTGAAATAATGGCCTACTATCTGAGGAAAACCAGGGGAAAAGAGTTGTTGCAGTTATTAAGGAAAATTACCGAGGTTTACCAGAAGCAGTGGGATTCAGGAACTAATTCCAGGTTAAATATGAGGTGACTCCAAGAGGCTTAACAATATTTTCCTTCTCTAGACTTCTTGAATTTGCTCCTTCACTATTCTCTGACCCCTGTATCCTCTGGAAGAACTGCATTTTATGAATCTGGGAGGTCAGGCCTGAGGTCATGATAAACCATGATAATTATGGCAATAAAAGAGCCCTAGGAAGCCACTGAAGAAAGCCCAGTGTGCTGCGGCCAGCCGTGGGCCAACTGCCAGCGCAGCACCTCAGGGTGTGGAGGTGTCAGACCCTCCTCAGGCTCGGCCCTCCTCCCCTCCTCAGGGTCTCCGTCCACAGATAGCTTCATTCCGAAGGCTCTCTGGAGCACGCTCTCTACACCCATCTAGAAGCCCCCCAATAAAATCAGTCCCTCTCAAGTCCACGGTCTCACTTTGGCCCCAAAATGGAACTCTGAGCTCCTGAGACCTTTGGTTGGTTGTGCAGGTGCTAACGGAGCAGAGGTGAGGAGTGTGCCAGGTGCCATCTAGAAATACGGTGGTGGGTGGGTGTCAGTAGCCACCTCACACACTGAGCACACACAGTCAGGTCTTGCTCTGCCTCGGTGCTGCATCCTGGGACTAGAGAGTATTGGAAGTGGGGGAGACTCCTCGACTCCACCCCGGTGGCTCTTGGTGTGTGTAGGCTGTGGATTACACAACCCAGGCATCTGGCCTGCCTTCTTCAACCTCTCCACCTGCCTTGACACCAGGCTGCCCCTGGGGTGCCTCACCTGCCCTGGTCCTGGCCACACAGACTCAATGCCCCCCCCCACTGCAACTGGCAGCAGGGATCGACCCAGTTACTGAGCCCTGCTGCAGCAAAACCGAGCTGTGAGCTAATGGGCTGGCTGTCAGAGAGGCAGCTGCGGTCTCTGAAGCCAGCCTGCCTGAGTCAAGTCCTGGCTCTGCCACCTACGAGGTGCGTGAAGTTGAGCAAGCCACATGACCTCGGCTTCCTCCTCTGCAAAATGGGATGCCTGCAACCGCTTAGGGTCAGCAGAAGGACTCAGGGCTCAGTAAGTCAGGACATGTGCAGTGCCTAGCGCCTGGCACACAGTGCAGTTGTCCCTTGGTATCCAGGGTGCTGGTTCCACGCGCCCCCCGTCGCCCAAGCTGTGGATGCTCAAGTCTCTTATATAAAGTAAAATAGTATTTGCGCCTAACTTGTGAACATGCTGCCATATACCTTAAGCCGTTTCCAGACTA